CCTAAGTATGTCCCTCATGATTTTATAAACCTCTACGAGGTCACCCCTCAGCCTCCGATGCTCCAGGGAAAATAGCCCCAGTCTATTCAGCCTCTCCCTATAGCTCAAACCCTCCAGTCCCAGCAACATCCTTGTAAATCTTATCTGAATGCTTTCAAGTTCACAACATCCTTCCTATAGCAAGGAGAACAGAATTGAAAGTAGTATTCCAAAAGTGGCCTAACCCATGTCCTGTACAGCCACAACATGACATCCCAATTCCTATACTCAATGCACTGACCAATAAAGGCAAGAATGCCAAATGCCTTCTTAACCACCCTGACTACCCGAGACTCTACTTTCAAGGAACTATGTACCTGCACCCCTAGATCTCTGTTCAGCAACATTCCCCAGGGCCCTACCATTAATTGTACAAGTCCTACCCTGATTTGCCTTCCCAAAATGCAAAACCTTACATTCACCTAAATTAAATTCCATCTGCCACTCCTCGGCTTCATCTGATCAAGGTCCCATTGTATTCTGAAATAACCTTCTTCACTGTCCACTACACCATCTATTTTGGTGTCATTTGCAAACTCACTAACCATACCTCCTATAGTCACAGCAAAATCATTTATGTACAACTTATGTTAGGGCAGCACAGTGGCTCAATGGTTAGCACTGCTGCCTCACAATGCCAGAGACCCAGGTTCAATTCCACCCTCAGGCGACTGTCTGTGTAGAGTTTGCACGTTCTCCTCATGTCTGCGTGGGTTTCCTCTGGGTATTCCGGTTTCCTCACACAATCCAAAGATGTGCTGGCTAGGTGGATTGGCCATGCTAAATTGCTTAGTGTTCAGGGATGTGTAGCTTAGGTGGGCTACAGGGGGATGGGTCTGGGTGGGATGCTCCGAAGGTTGGTGTGGTCTTGTTGGGCTGTAGGGATTCTTTGATGAAGAACTGAAAATGAAGCAACCCCAAGGACACGGCAGAAAGTGCATGCTGCCAGCCAAGAAGTAGACAGGTATTCAGCTGGGTCTGCAGAAGCAGCAGAGGCCAAGAGTCAGCAGTTAAACATTATATCAGTATGTGGTGAACCCGATCATTTCTGGGGTCTTGCCAAATTAGAGAGGAAGACAGTAAAAATGAAAGTGGACATGGGAGCAGTAATCTCTGATTCCCCAATCAGTCAGAAGTTAAGGGCACTACCGTTCAAGCTTGCCAAGATTACACGATAGACATATATGGAACACGTGGCGTCACTGATGGGATATGTATTAGTCAAAGTACAGTTAAGGGATCAGTGTGCAGAACTACCACTATATGTACTAAAAGGCGGCTACCCGGCATTATTTGAATGATCCGGGTTACAAAAATTAAGCTTGAATTGGGATGTGGTTAATGGGCTGGCGGACTCAAACGTGAGTTTACAACAGATCCTGGCCAAGTTCTGTGTAAATATGTCTTCAAGGGAACTCTAGGATGAATGAAAGGAGCCAAAATTAAAATACAACCGAAACCAGAAGCTTATCGGAGGAGTCTGAAGGTACGGCCAGTATCCTTTGCCATCTGGTCTAAAGTAGAGACGGAAGGGGAACAGCTGGTGATCTGGGAGCACTGGGACCAGCAACCACCAGTGAATGGGCCACTCCAATCAACCCAGTTTTAAAAGCAAACAGTGTAGTGAAGATTTGGGGTGACTTTCAGCATCCTGGGTGCACAATACCCACTTCCATACCATCGTCTACAATAATGACAGAGGGGACTTTTCCCTCTACAATCGGCTGCCCTTTGGTTTCACATCAGCACAGTTCTATTCCAGAGGGCCATGGACAAAATTGTGGATTGTCAGGAGTCCAGGGTTATCTAGACAATATTTTGGTCACTGGCTCCTCCAAAAGAGACACATTTAAGAAACCTAGAAGGAACACTAAAAACGCATTGCCTGCAAGTAAAAGGGAGAAATGTAAGTATTTAGGGACTCCACTAAGTACTTGGGCCATGTAATTGATGGCAAGGGACTATACAAGGCACCCAAGATGATGGAGGCCATCATGATGGCTCACACACCAGAGAATGTGTTTCACACGTGTTTTCACATTTGTGACATCTGTCACAAATTTCACAAGTATTTTAAACATACTTGGCGCATTCTATGAATTCCTGTATGCCCTTGCTCTTTTCCACCATTGCAATATATCTAGTTTAACTTTCCTGTGCGTATCTCTGTTTTTCTGAATCTGGCCATTTTTGTACTCATGCTCCCCTTTCTATTCCTTAAACTCAATTATTTCCATCTTTGTTAAGTACTTTTAAGTGCAACTTGCAATTCAGTTTTTTAAAAAAATTGACATGCAGCAGAGTTGTATGTACTCAACTTAAAACCCCATATTTACAGCAAAATGGAATACTGAGGCTGCACCATATGGTTTCAATTCAAAAAGATCCACACAGAACATTAGCAATGTTTCAGGCATGAAGCATCAGAATGTCATTGCATAGCTCATCAGATAAAATCAGGTGCTAATGTGGAGGCAAAAATGCAACTTAAACATCTCACAGACCTAAACAACAGGAATTCTGCAAATTATTTATTGGTACAATGCCTTCAAACCTTTAACTGTTTCAACTACCGAGTTAAAGTTATATCTGGTTCTAAATAGTTATGTTAGCTAACACAAAATTGAAAGTAAATTACCTTCGTACTCGTGGCGGCTTTGGTGGTGGTGAATCAGATTTGTCCGGAAGCGAAGAAATGGTTGTATTTTCAGAACTAATGTCGTCCTGTTATAAAAGCAGTTTAAATTGTAATGATCATAAAAGACTTTTAAGGCACTGACGTTCAACATTTTCATATTCTAACAAAGCTGAATAAAATAATTCCATTAACAGAACACATCCTGGAATTGAAGAGGCAGTTCGACAGTAGTTAACTGGAGCACAGTAAATAGGAACAGAGAACAAGTTGCAGATGTGTGAAAGGCACTTGAGGTTGAGGGGCATGCACAGGTGTGCTTTCCGTACAAAACATTTTGCCATAAGTACATATAAATCTATATTTGCCCAGACCCCAAAATTTTGATCATCCAAACTTGTACATCAAATTTTTCAAGCTAATGAAAACATAACATTCGAAAGGGCGGCTCCCAGATCCTAGGCCTTGTCAAAAAAATTCTAGGCACACAGCTTTTCACTGCAGAAAAAAAAAATCATCTATGAAATCCTGGAAAATGAATGGGTGTAACTAAATGGATAAGTATATGAAGCTAACAGTTAAAGTGTTACAGATTAACAAGACATCCTGGATTAATGACCACTGATATCAATTCAGTTTCTGCAGTATCTGTCATGCCATTTGCCACGGTTATGTAATTAGAACACACTCCAAGACCACACAAAATACCAAATTAAAATATATTTATTGTTTATGGTGTGAAATTGATAGGCCAAAAGTACTATAAATAAGCCAACAGCATACAACTGTAAAACAAAAATTACAAAATTGCGACCCTGCTAGTTTCATGATATTATTTTACTTCAAGAAAAAAAAAAAAAACAGGAAAAGCATCTGCTGAGTATAATTAAAAAGAGCTATATTTCCTGCCACGGAAGTACTTTTTCCAGATGCTCAGTTCCTCTCAGTTCTCTACTTTTAAAAAAAAAAAAATGAGTATCATGTCAAAGTCACAGGTACTGTTCATGACCACATTTCACTGCACAAGAGGAAACAGATTTTCCGGAAAATAGCATCCAACCATCTGCGTGTTAAATTTTTAGAAAATATATTTAGGATCAATCCATTTTACTAGTTTTTTTCGTAAATGCAAAACCACAACATTTTCTCCAAATAGTCAAATAATTAATATTCGTTGCTACCATTCACAAAGTTATCAGCATTGAAGTAGCCTGATAAACAAATAAAGTGTGTTGCAGCAGTATAATTGTAGTACTAAACCACTTAACTGACACTATTTTTCAAAAAAGGAAAATGATCTCATTCTTCAACAACCAAAAAATGTTTATCATAGACACTTTTCATCAAGTAAATTACCTATAAATGGTTACTTACAGTGTCAGAAAGACTTTCAGTGCACTGACTCCTTTGCAGTTCCTTTTCAAATATCTGAGCTATTGCACGGTGAACAAGCTCATATTGCTCCTGCAAAACATAGGAACATCGGAAATATGAGAAGTAGGCCACTCAGCCCCTCAAGACACCTCAGACATTCAACCAGATCATGGTTGATCTACTACCTTAATGACATTTTCCTACATTATCCCCATAACTTGAATACCTAGAAATTTAGCAATCTCCATGTCTGATTTTAGCTGATGAGCTATGGAATGACATTCTGATATCAAGGGTCGTTAACCCAGGATGTCTTGTTAATCTCTAACACTAACCGTAAACTTCAATTACTTGTCCATTCAGTTCCACCCATTCATTTTCCAGGATTTCATTGCTAAATTTCTAGATTATTAAAAAGTCAGCAATCTCTCTCCATGTCTGAATGATTGGGCCTCCAAAGTCCTCTGGGATTTAAATCTGCATTTAAAAAATTGCCAGAGTTAGCAGTATGTTTTGATCATGATGCTTCTGTGCAAAGTTTCTTAGAATTTCCTATCAAATTAAAGCCCAATGTTTTGCTCCTACAGCAATATGCCAAGGATACTGGAAATCTGAAATAAAACCAGAAAATTCTGTAATTGCACAGGTTGATGAAAAGTCAACTTTTCCCCTTCAGAGCTGCCAGCTGACTATTTCTCCTATTTCCTGTTTCTATATTTAGTTCTTTTCCATTTTAAATATTGTGCAAAATACTTTTGTAGTATTAAAAGACATCTTTCAGACTCTTAATCTGTTTTTAACTATATCCACAAATGCACAGAGCCATCATACAAGAGACATTACCAGAAACTATATATAGTGGCGTCCTTCATGACTTGAACTTAAGTTGTAGAAGTCTTCCTTGCTAAAACCTAGTCTCATATGCATTATAAGAGAAAAGTCAAATAAAGTTCAAAGACATGCCTGTGATAACTCAGGACATCCTGAAACACACTATCCCAATGAAGAACATTTAAAGTGCAGTTTATTACTTCAATTCAAGAACAAGATTTACAATTTAATTACGCAAAAATCTCTTAGGCATTTCACAGAGTTTAATTTTTAAACTATGTTTTATTTTAAAATGTTATGCATTTATGGAAGAATATAAATAACTATTTTGATCTATTAAAGGATGTTCATCTTGAAAAAAATCTGATTTGTCCAAAGTTCAACATTTTCTGTTGTTTTGGCTACTTGAACATTTATTTACACAGATGTCACAATTAGTTACAACATTCAAGTCAGAATTATAGGAACATTAGGCCAGATTTTCCTATAGTCAGATAACAGCGTCGAGAAGGTAGAGGACAGTTGCACATGGGAGCCCCATGCAATCACCAGTGTGGCAGATTCCAAAGGAATTGCCCAGGAAACTGAAGATTCCACTGATTAATTCCTATATGCTTAGAACCCCCCAAAAGCATCCAACTTATTTGGAGAACAAGGAGGGTCCCACTGTTGTTAAGTAAATAGTGAGTCAGGAAAAGTTAAGACTATCAAATACCTAGTAACTATTAGTAATTAGTTAACTATTCAACTAACACCCAATGTAACCCAAACACACTGAACTGCACCCTTCTTCCTGCAGACACAAACCCATGTACCCACTCTAACCCTAGCTTTCAACCCACACCCTTCCTCCAGACCTCCATTACGTAACTTGCTTTACCTCACCTTACCTTATCTTATCTTGCATCCAGGCACCCTAAGTTCATGCTTACAATATGTACCTACCCTTTCACAGAAGCTATCTAAGTGGCAATCTGTGATGTCGAACTTATAAATTACAAAAAATGGCAACTAACCACTGTGAAAAAGAGGATATGATTTGCTTTCCCAATTGTTCTGCACCATGGGCTTTGATCAGAATCTCCTGTCACTTAGGCATCATTCATTACATCTAAAAACAGCAGTGGCCATCTGTATCTCCTCAGAAAATTCAGTCTATTATATTTAATGTTATATTGCAAAATGTCAAGTTGTTACATGCTGAGCAAGATCTTTGAGGATTAGAACAACTGACAATCTAATCAAGTGCAATGAAGAAATTGTTCAGAGAATGTGGCACTGAAGAAAGCTCAGTTTCATTAACATTCATTGAACAAACTGCATTTACCTCGCATATTTAATGGGGCAAGAAGCCCACACTGCCAAGACGCAAGAGAAAATAAATAAAATTAAACATCATGTACAATCTTACCTTTGTTTGGACTGCAGAATGCCTTTGTGTTCTCATTTCTTGAATCAAATTAAACACACTGAACTCCTCAGGAATTTTCTAGGAAAAGAAACATTTTGGCAAAATGAGAATTGTAAATTGATAAAACTAAATCACTCATGTTGCAGATTGTTCAGCTAGGGAGACATTATCGGCATCTATCCTGTCAAGGTCCTAAAGAATTTTATGTTCCAATTAGATTACACCTTACTCTAAATTCCAAGAAGGTAGAGCTAATTTCTTTTCATTTAAGAATTCTCTCATCAGAAACAAGTTTACTGAACCTCACTGTATTTGCTGTCAGCAAAATAAGTCCTTTAAGACAGATGACCAAAACTGTGCCAATGCTTCATATAACTGTACAATCATGTATGAATTGTATAATTTCAAATAAGATCTTGAAAAGATGTATCTGCCATCCTTGCATGATATTTTTGACCAGATTCCTAATTCAAAATCTAGCCACCGAACACAGCAAATTTTCCATAGCGTGCCTCAGGAATGTGGGGACAGCACTGTGTATTGAAAATGATAGCTTAAATGTCACAAAAATTCACTACTTTTAAAATGAATTTATTACTATTTGTACTTGAAATGGAAGCCACATAACATTAAAATTATGATTTGTGTAATTTATTATTCCATTTAGATAGTTCCTAAACTGAAAGCAAATACAAAAGTTGACCAAACAAACCATAAAATCATGTTTGAAGAAATCCCAAAATGTATCCACAAAACTTTCTTTCAACAAAATAAAAGTAAAGTCAATAAACTGTGTATCAATTTATTAATCCACTGTGCATCTTGACAATCTGTACAAGAGGGAGATAGAAGCTTTTCTCGTTATTCAAGCCTTCTCTCAAATCCGTAACCATGTTTTTTTTCCAGGATAGGAATATTTCCCTATGTTTACAGCTACTTAGGAATCTGTTCACACTTCGGAATGCTCACAGACCTCCTAGTACTGCAGCTGATTCTATCATCTAATCCTTCAAACTATGCCCATACTCATCCAATTTGACAATTCCCCAAAATTGCCCCAGCTGAATACAATAATATCATTGAATATTTGTCATACATGGATGGACCCTCTTGTGGTGTAGCAATAACGTCCTTATCCCCAGACTGGGTTGCCTGGGATAAAGTCCCACCTGCATTCAAGTCCCATCTGCTCCAGAGTCGCAAAATAATGTCTCTGAACAGGTTGGTTAGAAAAACAGGTTAGATGAAATTTCCAATCAATCTAGCATATTTTTTGAAAACTAAACGTAGTTAAGAAGAAGCAATTCATGCATTTAGTTTATTTGTGCAGATTTGGCTATCAAATATTAATGATAAAAATGTTTAACTGCTGTTGGATAAACAGAAAATAATTAAACTAAATATTAATCCAAAGTGCTCAATCCAAAAGTCAGTTAAATAAATATCTTATTACATAGTGGAAGACCCTGAAATCACAGGCAACTAGTAAACTGTGCTTAAGAACTGAATATTCCCAAATATAGACCAAGTGTTGACTATTTCTCTGCTTATTTGTTTAGGCTTTGCAGGTTTTATTTGAGGGCAAAAAACTTGAGAAACAGATGACTCACCCCAGCTTTCAGCAAATTCCAGGTATAGTCAATTGCACATATGGCTCCAGTTCTTCCACATCCAGCACTGTAAGCATATAATTTCAGGAAATGACTCATTTTTGTCTTCCTTAAATCACAGTCACCACACCATCTCCAAGATCAAAACAACAGGAACTCTAACATCATGTTGTGAAACGTTAATTCGACTGCTTGGAATAGAAAATGGTACCATTACAATTAAAATTTTTTGGTAGGTTAAGCTCAAAGTCCTTGCATCTGCTCGGTTCAAATCCTATGCTAAATTATAACTCAATTTCTAGCTAGTCTAACTATGTTTCACTAATGTTTAGCACAAGAGTGCGACTTTTCTCTGAGAATCAGCAAGAATAGCATGGAAAGCAAAGGTGTACAAAGGACGTCTATCGTGATAGAATCAATGCATTTTCCTCAACTCATTTACAACTTTTGACACGAATGTTTTTCTTGCGTCTAGTTCCACAGGATACCACATTTCATCTCACCCTTATTAATCTATTTAGGCCATCTCCAATTGCAATTTATCTTTTTCATGCATTTCAACACCTGGAACGAATGGATTAGTTTTTTTTAAATTATAAACCGTCCAGTCTCTGGCACAATTGCTTAGCACATTCAACTGTTAACTGCAAGGTTGGTGGTTCGAAACTACTCAAGGATGAAAAGCTTGCTAGAGCGCTTGTAGTGTGGTGATAATGTCCCTACCTCTGAGTCAGGAGGCCCTGGTTCAAATCCCACCTGCTCCAGAAGTCTACAGTCACATCACTGAACAGGTTGACTAGAAAATATTCATAATTTAAAAACAAACAACTCCTTTGATGACTTATATATTCAAACAAATCATAATCCTATTCTCTATCCAACTGCCAACTTCATTCACTCATAAGCTCTCTCATCAATGTGATAAAAATGAACAAAAGACTGAGTTTTCTTGTTAATGGTCCGCCCCTTATCCTGCTTTTGGACCCACCAGCCAGTAGAAATATCTTAATTACATCCACCCTGTCATGTCCCACAAGACATTTGCAAGAATTGAGACGCTAATAAAGACAGACCCCTCTTAAACCTCTACAAAACGGTTCTGCCATCCCAGGGATTAATCTGGTGAGCCTCTGTTAAACTCCCACAACAGTAAATATATTTTTCCTTCAATAAGGAAATTAAACTGCACTCAATACACCAGGTAAGGCTCTATATAACTGCACTAAGTAACTTTTACTCCTGCACTTAAAACTCCCTTGCAATGAAGGCCAACATGTTACTGGCATCCGTTAACTGGTGGCTAACTTCTAAATGACTCATGAACATGGTCGTCCACGTTACTTTGGACACTAGAACTTCTCAACCTCTCACTATTTTCTACCAAAAGTAAATAACTTCACTCATTTACGTTATATTCTTTCTGCCATGTTCTAGCCCATTCACTTCGCATATCCAAGAACTTTTGACATTTCCTTGCATCTTTATCATAATTTACAAAGAAAAATAGAGAAAGTAGGAGTAGATCATTCAGACCTTCAAGCCTGCTCTGTCATTCAATACGATCATTGCTAATGTGGTAATCTCTGACATGACCATAAGACTAGTCAGACCTCTCGGTATCAGGATTGCCTACAAACCAACAACCACCCTACGATAGGTACTGACGAACATAAAGGATCCCATACCCACAATCAATAAAACCAACATAATATACAACATACCGTGCAAGGACTGTGAGAAACATTTCATAGGCCAAACTGGAAGAAAACTGACAATAAGGAATGCACGAACACCAACTAGCCACCAACAGACCACGACCAGTTCTCATTGGTCTCAGAACACATGGACAAAAAAGGACAAATTGGACTGGGACAACACATGCATAACAGCACAAGCCAAACAGACATGACAGGGAATTGCTGGAGACCTGACATTCCAACCAGGACTCCATCAACAAATAGATTGAACTGGGCCCGAAATACAATCCACTGAAAAACAGAAACGGAAGTGATGCCAATCACCCCAGCAAACCAAGGCATATAAATAACAAGCGGGACAGAACACCAACGCTTCACCGGAGGCGCACTGACAATGTTACCTAGCAGGGTGACAAAACATCTGCAATCAAACACGCCTGCTTGGCAAGCAAGTCTACAGCCTGAATAGCCTACTTCTGCTTCTGCATCTCATGGTCTTAAACAAACTTTTAAATTAACCATACCTAGTTTGGTGATGACTATTAGCCAACAAATCTGTACAGCTCTGCTTGAATTTGTAGCATATTATATTATATGACTGGCTAACTGTACAGGCAATAAACAGAAACATGAAATTCTTCAAATCCTCTAATGTTTAAACATGTAAATTTATAAATAGAATTAAAGTATATATTACTGCCCAATTCAACTTTTTGTCACATTTCAAATCTGAAGAATAAAAGCACAAATATTTTCTTCTATACCTGCAGTGGATACAAATGGGAACATCCTCATGTTCTTGGTATTCTCGCATCAAACTGATCATATCCAAAATAGAATCAAATGAAGATGGAACATCATGATCAGGCCAGTTTATGTAATGGAATTGATATATTCTCCGAGATTCCTAGGCATGAAAAAAAAAATGAACATTTAATTATCTCCTACTTGCCAAAAGCTAAATTACTTTCATAACTGGCATGGAGAAGATTAACCAATGAAGGATGAACTTTGATCTATCGTGTCTTTTTATTTTTCATTAAAATAACATGCAGTCTTATTGTGACCAACATGGCTTACAACTTAAGCATTGATGATAAAGGTCCAAGTTTTGCTGGATCAGAACATTTCACAGTGTTTACTTCTTCAGACTTAAGACTTTCATCCTTTTCCCTTACCTTTCAGTTCAAAAGTGCTTTTGCTCTGATGATGATGATGATGATGATGATATCATTTCTTTTTTAAAAAAAAAACCATCAGTAATATATAAATTTACCAAAAGATTAAATTACCCCAAAAGTTAAACTAGAACCATTATTTACATTGGACCATAACTCACATTCTGGAATTCCACTAATAGAGTCCTTATAAAATAGTCATTTCTTGATTGTTCTGCTTCCTGGAAGAGCAACAGAAACAAAAGTCATTCAGCATCAGGACTGGAATGTTTACGGGATCGTGGATTTTGCAGTTGCAGCAAATGGTTGGAAGAAATAGTGTGCAATGAATGACATAAATGAAAATGTTGAGTCACAATGTTACTTCCTGTCCAACTCCGTCAGATCCCAGTGTTTTCACATCTCTCACCCAGATTTTACAGCTCTCTCAATAAGTGAAACTCCACAAGCTCAAACACTGAATGCATATCAACTACTGGCCATAATGCCCCAACTCCATCAAGTTGTACTCTCACTTCCTTTCAACAACAAAACCAGTTTACAAACAAAATCATCATCCTGTAGAACGAAACCATATTCAAGCAGACCATCCCCCCATTCTCTTTCAACATCAAATGCAAAAGGTGTGGTGGATCTCCTGTCTAAATTCGACTGGGACCTTCCCCCTCACCCCCCATTACCACTCCTGATTACATAATTTGCCCTTGCTAGTTCACGTACACAGACATCGACATGCCTCTAATAGCTGATGCTGTTCTCTTCATTTAAAATAGCTTTCATTGTTTTTCTCACAATCAGTCCTGAAACTCATATCTATAGTGAACGTAGAGGGCGGCACGGTGGCTTAGTGGTTAGCACTGATACTTCACAGCGCCAGGGACCCAGGTTCGGTTCCACCCTCGGGCGACTGTCTGTGTGGAGTTCACACATTCTCCCCATGTCTATGTGGGTTTCCTCCGGTGCTCCGGTTTCCTCCCAGTCTAAAGATGTGCAGGGTAGGTGGTTTGGCCATGCTAAATTGCCCATAGCATTCAGGGATGCGTAGATTAGGTGGGTTAGAGGGGGATAGGTCTGGGTGGGATGCCCAGAGGGTCCGTGTGGACTTGATTGGGCCAAAGGGCCTGTTTCCACACTGTAGGGATTCTATGATTTCTATACTACAAACTGGGGTTTAGATATTGTGAGCATAAAGATCAAGTGTACCAATGCCTAAGATTTTAACAGAAGTCCATGTGCTACATAGTTAGTCTACTTAATTAATGAGTTATCTCTTGCTCTTCAGCTCAGGAATAAACACCAGACAGTGAGAGACTATGGAATAAACTCAGATTAGATTCGTCAAATTTACGAATTAAAGGGCAACAAGTGCCATTTGGGAATTTTACATCACAAAGATTTAACCTATGCATTCTGAGATACATTAAAATAAAAAGACAATACAAACATTGAGCAATGCTTCTACATTTCTGGAGATAATCACTAATAAGATAAATAAAACAGATCCAGAAATAAATTCAGATTAATTCATCAGACAGTGGAATTCACGACCACGTGGAATATTTGAAGCAAACAGCACGTATGCACGCAAAAGAAAAGCAGGTAAGTACAAGGAGTAAAATTAGAAGGATCAATTAGCAGAATGAGATGCACTCGGTAGAGACAAGGTTTACATGGAACATGATCAGAAATGACCAGGAAGGTTTATTTTTGTACTGTATATTTTTGTATTAAAAATGGAGGTCTATCCATAACATTCATTAGTTTAAAATATTATATGACCTGAGTTATTGGGTGACACTGGCAAAGTCATACTTACTGTCCATTTCCAACTCCTCCTCAACTACTACAATGTTGCAGAACTATTGCCTTCAATTTACAACATTGCATATCTTCTTACCAATTAAGAAGAAATTAAAAATCACCCACATAGCGCAGACTGGGCAAAGAACAGTCCTAAATCCTGGAAAAATTGAACCAATTTCATATTTGTTAAAATGGGAATGGAGGATTTGAGTTATAAAATTAGACTAGATCGGCTAGGACTTTCTTCACTGGAGCATATGAGGTTGAGGGGTGATCTTAGAGGTTTATAAATTCATGAGGGGTATAGATAAGGTGAATCACAAGGGTATTGCCCCTAGGGTTGGGGAGTTCAAGCCTCCAACCTCTACTGTCTTTGTTGCAAGGCATCACTCCTGCCACTGAGACTCCACTGACTAGTTTTACGAGGGCTCCTTTGTGCCGCAGTTAGATAAATATTGTCTTAATATCTCACCTCAAGCATTAAGCTTGTTTGTTCATATTCAGACCAAAATTGCATGAACTTGAATAGCTTTGACAGAGCAACGATCACCTTACTGATGAGCAAGTGTCAACACTTTCCTTCACTTTGCTGATGACTAGCCATTGGTTGGGTTGGAATTATTGCAGATTTTGTGGATAGAACATACCTTGCAATTTCTCCATATTGCAATGGGCAGCTTTTCATTTCCAGATATTATTACTTTAAAAAAAATTAAATGGGATTTGTAGTCTTGTTCTCTAAATTATCAGTTCAAGTAGACACCAACATTCAAAATCTATAAATATAAGCTCAGTAGAACACCAATTTCAGATTCAACAATTTAACATAATGTATGATTAATACAATGAGTATGGCAGCAGCACACAATGTCCAGTTGGATACCAATTTCCGTATCATGACCAGACGCTTGGACAAAAACATTTTTATAATGGTAGGTTTTGTAGCGAATAATAACAGAAAGCAACTGGCATCTGTGAATATAAGAACTGATAAGTTAATGTGCATTCTTACTCAATGCGATCAAAATCCATCATTAAAATGTTTGGAAGTAATTTCTCAAAAAATGAAAATAAAGCAAATAATCCTCAACTTCTCCTCTTAAGGAAAGAAGAAAAAGATTAGAAAATACCACCACCTATGGTAAATTCAAAGTGTAGAATTTTCAGGTGACTTGAAGTGGTGTTGTGGCATTGTCCTTGAAATTCTAATGATTTAGACAATAAAAAGTATTACATTGCAACTTTTAGATCTATCATGAGAATATAATTGTATAGAATTCATAATAATAAACCAAAACAATTCACTCAAACAAGGTAGGTGAGGAAGCTTGATAAATCATTTAAAAATCTAAATACTGCATTCCCCTCAAAGGCTTTTGGAAAGAAAGTTGAAAGCGAAACAAAATTCAGCAAATCCACCAGGATTCTAGCTGGGTAGATCATCCAGTCCATTGCTGGAAGTGGGGATACCAAGCAAGACCAGCACTAGACTGGACTCCAATGTCCATTTATATATCTGACTGATAATCATGTACAAGCTCAAACATTTAAGATTAACCAATTATTCAGGCTGACTGAGAACAGTCATGAAAATATACTTCATTTGTGTATAATATTCTTTTAATTTGGAGGAACTGGGATATCAATCATACTGGTAAATGCAGAGAAGTCAATGTAGGATCAATAATTATTTGAACCTGGCAAGTAGTTTAAAATTAAAATGAAGTAATACCCATCTCATTTTCCCCAAGAAAAGATTCATCACCTAAACATTAGCCAATGACATACTATTATTCCCTCCCCCTCAAAACACAAATCATACATAGCAAAAGTACTCACACAAGTAATCTGAAATTCTCCAAGGTGGAGAACTCCATCCCCATGTAGCGGCCAGTAGCGTTCACACTTTTTCTACAGAGAAACATGCATGTTAAAACTATTAGTTTACATTTATTCACACCATAACGTAGCTTTTGATCAACACAAGAAAACAAATTGTCCTCAAAAACCTAACTTACATTGACATTTATTGCACACATTGCTTGTTGCAAACTACAATGTCAATAGATTGATACTTGTTCTACAATAATTTATAAAAAGGTTATTTAAAATTAGACAATAAAAAAAGAGAAATCCATCTATAAAGTCAAACTTATGCCTTAAGAAGCTTGAATATAACCTAAGCAAACTAATATTCGTGTAGGTCAGCATTCAACTAAGCTGCCTCCATTTAACATCCCTACCTGTTGTGACTATACTTTTGCTGCCAAGTCAACACAGCTATATAAAACTTGTAGACGGTGCAGGGATTCCTTGTTAGTTACTTGTTGGTCTCTCTTCAACCAAGAGTACTTAAAATTAATGAAAACAAACTGTGCAGCAAGCTCAGAGTTTTAACCAGTCATTTGTAAGCTTAAAAGAAAGAGAGAGAATAGCCGTCATCTGAGAATCTAGATGAATGTGCAATATTGCACCCCAACATCTCAAAAAGGCTTATTCCTTTTTAGTAATTTTCACAGGCCTCAACAGGAATGTGTATACATATAACATGCTTACATTGAAGCAAAATTATACTACATCTTGAGCAGTTTTTTTTTATAGATCTCAGAAAATTTACAAACCAATAAAGGTGTGCAAAGAAGTTGCATGAGGCATGAGACTGCTGCACAGTTATCATTCATGTTATTCACAAAGACAGACTTAAAAACACACAGAACATGACAAATAAAACAACAAAACTCACTCTCCCCATTTCAAACTCACGGCAAGCCATGACAATGATCTGGAAACAAAAAAGTAAAGGTTAGTTGACTGGCTGAACAAGTGAAGTAGATTTATAATTGGACATGAAGCCTGTATGACAGGTGCAAAGTACACTGGTCAAAGTAACTGCTTCAAGACCTTCTAAAAGATAGTTCTTTACTGTAAAATGGAAATGGAATGGGATGAACAAGTGTGCAGTTGTTGGCGCCGCATTATGGGAAGGATGTGGGTACCTTGGATAGAGAGTGCGCAGTGGCGATTCAAGGGATTTCTTCAAGAGTGAAAAACTTCAGTTGAGGAGATGGACTTGGGGAGGTTGGGACTGTTCTCCTGCATGAGCTGGGAGGAAATGTCTTGCAGGTTCTCAGAGTCAAGGGTGGGCTGGGCGGAGTGGATAGGGAGAGGCTGTTTCCGCTCATGTGGAGGGTAGAACAGGAGTATAAGGGCATAGCATAGGGGTGTGTGGGGATGAGACTTTTTCACATAGCAAGTAATTGGAGTGTGCATGCCCTGCCTTGGGGCATGACAGAGGCAGGTTTGGTTGGGGCACTGAATGATTGTTTAGTAAGTAGAGTACACACATGCTGGGGCTGGGGATGCGATTGGCATTGGATGGTGATGCTGTTTGGGGAGCTAGTGCAGGGGCAATGGGCCGGGTGGCTCCTTCTGCATCTTAGCAATTCTGGTGATTCCGAGGTTCAATTAAACACAAGCATAAGCTCAATCGTGCAAATTTCCTACAATATTGTATTTCAATACGTTTTTTAAACCAGATATTTAACTTCAAATAACAAAACTCCAAACCTACACATGTGGGTAAACCCTAAAAGGCAGAAGCTGAGGGGTTGATTCGTTTACTTGGCTGGATGGCTGGTGTGCAATGCCAATAACATGGGTTAAATTCTTTCAACAGCTGAGGTTACCATGAAGGACTCTCCTTCTTAACCTCTCTCCTCACCTGAGGCACAGTATCCTTCAAGTCAAAAGCTAAATGATAGTAAATATCAAAATTGTCTTATTTGTTGTTTGTTAATTCTCAAAGGATAAAATGCATTGTTCTACCGCTGGTGTTACAAGAATGGAGGTGCATTCATCGCACCCAAAAGAACATTCTTGATTCAAATATAAAACAACTCCACAAACTAACAGTGCATTAATCAAACATTTCAGTACAAAGTGGTTATGGCCCTGGAATTTTGCACATAAATACAAAAACAGCAGAACAATTACTCTGTAATGCAAGTTAAATTGGGGCTATAACAGTTTTGCTGTAAGTCACATTTTATTTTTATTTATTTGTAAGATGTGGGTCTTGCTGTTTCTGTCCATCCCCAATGGGCATTGAGAAAATGGTGGATGAGCCGCCTTCCTGAATCATGCAGCCAGACATTTTAATCAATTGTATTGAATAAAAACAAAAAACAAAGGAAACAGACTGCCTTTAATTTTAAAATTTTCAGGACAATTTTGCTCCTAGTTAGAGTAGCTGCATCTTTCAATTTATTTTAAACACTACCAATTACGTTAAGTTCAAATTCTGTCAATCAAAAGAAAGAAACCACTTACCATAACTTTGTATTCCCAGATCATCCTCCAAAAGTCAAGTACAGAATTCGCTAGTGGGCCTTGGGTAGCTATGTATGATCTTGGCCCATAAACTCCCTAGAAAATGACAGGAATGTAGATTTCATCAAGTTTCTTTTATAAAGTGATACAAAATACTTGACTTTCTAAACTATCAAGATAAATGTTCCAAGAATATATGTGCTCAATATACAAACCAACGAATAGGGCCAATATTATTACATAAAAAAGTTACTAAGTATACGTATACTCAATCTGAAAATTGAAACAATAAATTCAATTTGCCATATCTCAAAATTAAAAGAAGTACATTTTTGACTCATCCCAGAGATTTTAATAGTGCGTCAAAATTCAGTTTTAACAATTAACCACATACGAACAATTTGTTTCTTCCCATTTCATGTCTACAATTCCATAAGTTCAGGGCAAAAAAGTAATTTATTTGATGCTGGACAATACAGCTCTATTGCTGATGCGCAATAGAGGCTTAATGCAATGTCAGTGACTTTGGTTAGAGGAGAATTCCAAGAATCAATTACAACATGTATACACAGTATCCTATAGGATATACAAGAGGTTTTTCTATTTCTTTAAAAGGTGGAGGGCTTAATGGCAACACTAAATGCATTGTTTCTGTTAACATTGATTTGGTTTGTTTTGCTCTGCTGATTTTTAAATAGTAAATTTACCCCCAACTTTGGACTGTTAGGCCAGGTTCAACTTATTTAACAAACAGACGCCAATAAAATAGAGTTCTGCACAAGTGAACAAAGCAAATTACTGGATGTAAAAAGGCTACATATTTCATCTGACTGATCCAAACATGTAACAGTTGCATCCATTCCAGTTTGCATCCTGCAATGTCAACACAGAGTGCAATGGGAACTAGCATGATTTAAGAGGAAGGAGAAACAAGGAGAGTGGAAATGATGGGAACCTCCACAGTTTTACATTTTTAAATTCAGGATATAAAATTGTAATTACAAAACAGAATTTAAAAAAGCAAAATACTGATGGTGGAGACATAACTGAAAACACTAGTAATATTCAGGCAGTATCTGTGGAAAAAGAAACAAAGCTAGCATTTTGGGTTGATAACCTTACAACAGCGTGTTCCAATGAAAGGTCATTGGCCTGAAACATCAACCATTTGCTTCTCCAAAGATGCTGGCTGATCTGCCGACCATTCTCAGAATCATCTCAAATACAAGACATCATTTTTCACAACTGAACAAAAAGGAGACTGAGATAACCCTATTTCCATTACACGTTCATATACTGAATTTCCATTCTTAAATAATTAAGAAATGCAAATTGAACCAATTCTCAAAAGGCTTGAAGCCATAGTATAGAACAGTCCTCAGCTTGATATTATCAGCAATCTTCTCCAAAAGGCAATAATTTGGCCAGTATGGGAAATACGAAAACGCAAATCAAAATTAAAAAAAAGTGTATATATAATCTTAAAGAAAAGAAAATTTCATGGACAGTAGATGACCATGCTGTAGGCAACTTGAGTTCCTAGTGTACAAAACATTATTCCAACTCAGTGCATCAAACAGCACAAAATCCAAATATAAAAAGGCTGCAGTTAATTTATCATTGTGAAGCAAAGTTTTGTGGGAAGTACTGTTGGCTGTTAGTCAAAACTACAGAAAACAAAAACAAACCTTTAAACACAAGCCCCATAGTAATTACAGGACATCTTCACTGAAATACTAAAACAGTGCACTTGTCATGCAACATTGAACAATTTTCTCCTCTAAATAAAATGCTGAAAGTACAAACATTACCTTAATAAAATTTGCATTGATATAATCTGAATCTTGATCTGAAATTTTCAATGCAAGTTTCACCCTGCTATGGTCAACTGCAGTGAGGAAAAGAAAGAGAATGAAAAAAGCTTTACAAATGTCAAATAAGTTAATACAACACATGTTCAAATACCATTAAACAATCTCTAAAAGTCACTCATCCTATTGACGTTCAAGCTACTGATGAGAAAATACCATGCAAACAACTGGAGACGTCAGGAGCTGACAATGCACAGAACTTGGACTGAAAGAAATGATTTAAATGTTTAAATGATCACATGAAGCAACATTTAATATCAAACAAAAACTCCCACGACAGTCAGGTAGAATGCAATATTTTAAGCTGTCAATAGAAACAGGTAGAAGTTATGAGAAAATTCTAATAGGAACAAAATAAAAATTCTGTTACACTTTTGTCAGTACCATAAAATGTTCATAACTGTAATAAATACCTGTATTTGCTGACCACCACTGGCTCCCAGTTGAGCATAACATACCATTTTAAAACCAGTACCCTCACTATCAAATCCTTCCAAAGCCTCACCCTAAATCTGCAATCTCTTCCAGCCATAATCTCTGATGTATAATCATTTGGGAGCACAGAACTGGAGCCTTGCCGTAAACAAAGCATTTTGCTAAAGCTCTTTGTCATGCACTCACCAGAACAATTTGTAAGAAATCCTAAAGCCAAGTGAAAACATTTACACTAAGAGGAGCGTGTTGACGAGGAGGCAAGAGAACTTTGATGCGTACACATTGGAAGCTTCATGTATTAATACTTAGGGCTCTGTCTTTGTAGACAGAAAGAATATGCGCACACACTGCTCATGTTTCAACTGATCAAAATAGAGGACAGCCATTCACTCATTCATTTCTAAGAGGCAGTACCTTGACCAGAGAAAACCTGCCTAGTTTACATTTTAAACAAAGCTTGGCAGTTGACTATCAACCAGTCATCATTAACTAGTTAATTCATCACAGCAATGCCTCCACCAGAGTCTACTCGTCAACCAATAAATGCTCAAATTCGTTAGAAGAAAACTTGTTACCCATTGACTTTAATACTTCTTGCAAATTAAAGATGACAAGGATGAAAATCTTCAACAAAATGGAACTTTATTCAGCAATATCTGACAGATTATCTGCATTTCTTTAATTCGGACATCTTGGGCATTACCAATTATAACTATCTCAGCACTGGTGGTCCTGCTCTCAAATGCCAAGACTCTTAACTCTCAGATTCCTCCTATAAACCTCTCCATTTTTGCTCACTGAACATACTCCGAAAAATCACTCTTGGACCATGCTTTTGATTATCTGCCGTAATAGTACCTTATCTGGTTGAATGTCAAATTGGCTTGCAATACTCATGAGAAGGGCCTTAAATATTTATCAAAAGCGCTAAATGAATTCAAGCTGTTGTTACAAAAAAACCAATTATCCTCAAAACTACCTGAACATTCTAATCATACAAAGCATTTAATTACTGTTAAATTTCAAAAAGAAACAATTAAAAACTTACATGGCAAGATGTCTTTATATCTGTTCTTTTTAACATTTTCTTCCTTTTCTCCAATGTTTGTGGGGTAGATCTTTTCAGTCCTATATTTAGTCGACAGTCTTCTGAGTCGCTGTTAAATACAAAAAATAACTAAAAATTCAATATTTATATAATTTAATACACTCTGACAGAAAATACAAAGCATAGCTCAACAATAATACATGACACGAAGGCATATGATGACACTTTAGCTGGTTGGCACCATAAAAATAGTTGTTACTTTTATTGGTCTACTTGGAAAATTCTTCGTAAGTATTGCAATGCTCATGTTAATTTCATGTTTTAATCATTCATAGGATGTGGGCATCACTGGTTAGGAATCGAGTTACTCTCCACCTTAATTGCCCTGGAGAAAGGAGTAGAGCTGCAGTCCTTGGGGTGCAAGGACAACCACATTGTTTTCAGGAATGGAGTTCCAGAATTTTGAACCAGTACCAATGAAGTGAACTGATTTTTCCCTCAATGGTAGTGTCAAGCTTCTTGAGTTGTTAGAGCTGCATCCACCGAGACTAGTGGGGAGTATTCTATAAAGTCCTAGCTTGTGATTTATAGATGGTAGACAAGCACTAGGTAGACAGGTGGTGGACTCAAGACAATTCCTAGCCTCTGATCTACTCTTCCAGTCACATAGTTCACTTTCTAGTCAATGGTAACCCCAGGAAGTTCAGAGTGGTGGATTCAGTTATGGTAATGTCATTGATTTTATGCCATTTCTTGATATCACATGGAGTGAATCAAATTGTTAGAAAGATTGAAAAATATCTCCACAGTTTAGAACAAACAACAAAGAAATTATCTTTACAAAATTAGAAAAGTAAAACACAAATGCTTTTGTGGCACAGTGATATGGTCCCTGCCACAGAGAAGAGTCCCAGGTTGAAGTCCCACCTACTCCAGAGGTGTGTAATAAATCTCTGAGCAGGTAGATTAGAAAATATCTACAACTTATACTCTAATATCCAGAATCAACATGAGATAAACAAAATTGTTGTCAAACATAGCACAGAGCACACCAAGTAGAAGATCCAGTTAAAAAGATCCCATGGATTTCCCAGCGACCCACCCAGCCAGGTGACAGACTCTTTGGAACACCAAATCTCAAAATTTTGTCTCCTTTACAAAGGGATTCCAGCTCTTCATTTTCGAAGATTGCCTGTTAAGCTCTCTCAAAAAGCTGCTCCATTATGGATTGCCTCAATAACCTTCATATCCACGAACTTCAATCCTTTGCTTCGAGCCTACATTCTAGCATCTTCTCATGGACAAGACTCCGACTCTTTCACAGATAGCTAGCTTCACACTGCTAACACCATCCCAATATTGCTCCAAACTCCAATATCATTCAGCTGCACCAAGAAGTTACTAACTGTATACTTCCTTCACTCCACTCTCAGTGGTACTGAATAGTTGACAAAGATGTTTTTGAGGTCTAACTGCTTCAGACAGCTTCCAGAGCTTCGAAGCTTTAATCCCAACTCTTCCCTACACACAGGGTTTCCAGGGCTTATTCCTACACAACAGCTTGATGCAGCAACTTTTTGGTATGGAGTCTCTTCCCCTACTACAGAACATTCCCTATCTCTTGGGCTTACTTTTATCCCACCAGACCTATGGTTAGTTCTAGACACCATCAACCCACATGGGTACCCCTGCCTGTAGCAGACTAAAAGGTGAAAACAGTACGCAGGGGTGAGTAAGCACAGCTTGTCAGAGTCTGTGCATGTAGTGGAACCCGGAGCGTACACAAGGAAATACAGGTCTTCAATCTCTACCCACAAAAGAAAGTAAATTTATTAAGACAATGAAATTGCATCAATATCTCCGGTTGTACATTGGTTCTGAAATTATTGGGCTTCAATTCCCAGAAGATTAGGCTTGACTTTTACACCAGATAAGTGAGAAACTGTTTATTTTAGGCTAAAAATTATGATTTAGCTTTCACGTAAGATCAACTTTTACACAAGCAAACATGTTAGCAGAATCTCTGGAACTGGACCCTAATTTTTCATAACTGCTCTGCTGGAAGCCTAGCTGTACTAGATCTATAAGAATATGGAAATCATGCATCGACTCTTCAACCCTGACCGGAATCATAGCTTGGGACTGGATTCTCAGAAGACTGAATCTCAAAAACTAATCTATACAAGCACAAGGAGTATTATAGTGCTCAATCATACAGTGCAATAGATGCAACCACAGCACCAGTTTCGTACATACATATAAATGACAAAAATTAGATACTCGAACAAAGTGACGACAGGCACCGTCTTCTGAAACCACAGAGCACCTATTATCATTGCTTGAGGCCCAGGACACCACACTGAATTAAATTTAAATCCATTTTAGGCTGACTCATACTAATGTTCAGAAATACACATGCCTATGGCTTTTTGCTGTAAAAGCAATAAATGAGCAATGCCAGAAAATCCAAGATAAGGCTGAAGGAGTGCCACGTGAAAAAGAAAGGGTTTGAGGGAAAAGCATACTCATGCCTAATGAAACATGGAGATTTATTCATTGTATTTTTAAAAAATGAAGGTTAAAATACAGAACGCAAGTAAATTGTTCGCAGACATTTATTACAAAGTCTCCAATTTCTCTATAATAGCATAAAATAGTCAAAGATATACAATTTTTAAAATCAAACAATAGCACTGAAGACTTACGCTCCAAGACTTGGCCCATAGCCAAGGTTCACCAAGACACTAACAAAAGTGGCATCCACCTCACCATGTGGAAAACTGCCCAGGTATGCCCTGTCCACAAAAAGCAAATTCAAGCCCACTAATTATTGCCCCAGTTAACACCCAAAGCGCTGAAAGGTAGTATGGATAATGCCATCAACTCTACAATAACCTGCTCATTGACATTCAGTTTGAGTTCCATATTGCCCATTCAGCTCTTGACACCATTACAACCTTGGTCCAAACATTAACAGAGAGCAAGTAAGGATGACATTCTTCATTATCATGGGGGAATTTCACACAGTATGGTATTAAGGAACCCAACCAAAATTGGATTTAATGGGAATTAGGGAGAAAATTCTCTGCTGGCATGAGTCATACCGACCACAAAGGAAGATGGCTACAATTGTTGGAAATCAATCATCTCTGCTTAGGAACCTCGTTCTGGCATGGATAGAGGATTGGTTGACCAGTAGAAAGCAAAGAGTAGGGGTAAATGGGTGTTTTTCTGGTTGGCGGTCAGTGGCTAGTGGTGTGCCTCAGGGATCAGTGTTGGGACCGCAATTGTTTACAGTTTACATAGATGATTTGGAGTTGGGGGACTAAGTGTGGTGTGTCAAAATTTGCAGTTGACACTAAGGTGAGTGGTAGAGCAAAGTGTGCAGAAGACAAAGTCTGCAGAGGGATATAGATAGTCTGAGTGGGCGGGCAGAGGTCTGGCAGATGGAGTACAATGTTGATAAGTGCGAGGTCATCCGTTTTGGTAGGAATAACAGCAAAATGGACTATGTTTTAAATGGTAAAAAATTGCAGCATGCTGCTGTGCAGAGGGACTTGGGTGTCCTTGTGCATGAATCGCTGAAGGTGGAATTGCAGGTGCAGCCGGTGATTAAAAAGGCAAATGGAATTTTGTCTGCCATTGCTCGAGGGATGGAGTTTACAAACAGGGAGGCTATGCTGCAGCTGTATAGGGTCCTGGTGAGGCCACACCTGGAGTGTACTGTGTGCAGTTTTGGTCTCCTTACTTGAGAAGGGATATACTCGCACTGGAGAGGGCGCAGAGGAGATTCACTCAGTTGATTCCAGAGTTGAGAGGGTTGGATTATGAGGAGAGACTGAGTAGACTGGGATTATACTCATTGGAATTCAGAAGAATGAGGGGAGATCTTATAGAAACATAGAAGATTACGAAGGGAATAGATAAGGTGGAGGCAGGGAGGTTGTTTCCGCCAGCAGGTGAAACTAGGACTAGAGGGCATCGCCTCAACATAAAGGGAAGCAGATGTAGGACTGAGGTCAGGAGGAACTTCTTCACCCAAAGGGTTGTGAATCTGTGGAATTCCCTGCCCAGTGAAGTGTTTGAAGCTACCTCACTGAATGTTTTTAAGGCAAGGCTAGATAAATTTTTGAACAGTGAAGGAATTAAGGGTTATGGTGAGTGGGCGGGTAAGTGGAGCTGAGTCTCAAAAAGATCAGCCATGATCTTATTTAAATGGCGGGACAGGCTCGAGGTGCCAGATGGCCTCCTCCTGCTCCTAGTTCTTATGTTCTTATGTTCCATGAGTTCCTCAGGTAGCACCCTTGGTAAAAGTGTCTTCAGCTGCTTCACTGAACATCCCTCTATCAATTTCAAAGCCAGGGATTTGCAAACTCTGGCACCATTTGCAACATCTCAGATACTAAAGCAGTCAATGTTCAAATACAACAAGACTGAGTCAACAATCAGACTCGGCTGCCAAGTGACTTAAGTGCCAGTCAACAGCCATCTCCAACTATCACCCTTAACATTCAGGGAACTATCTTTGCTGAATCCCCCCACTATCAACATCAGGGGTTACCCATGATGAAAAAGTGAACTGAGCTAGCCATATACACACCACGTACAAGAACAGATCAGAGGCTAAGAATTCTGTGGTGAGTAATTCACATTCTGACACTTCAAAGCCTGTACTTTTGTAGAAGGTGGACAATCAGGAGTGTAGTGGAATTCACAATATTTGCCTGAATGAGTTCAGG